CACACACACACACACACACACACACACACACACACACACGAGGACCACACAGGCCCTGTGCCGCTCCAGCTTGGTCCTTGTGGGCACAAGCGCGACGCTCGGGTCGCGGGACTGCACGGATGGCACAGGAGAGCGCGGTGCGCTGGGACGTGAGATGCATGGACACAGCCTAAGCCGGCGGGGACTCGAATCCCTCGCCCTCGGCGTTTATCTGGGGGGCGCCAAAGCCAGTCCTCTGGTCTCTGGGTCCGGAGGCGAGCCGGCGCCTCTCCCGGTTGGGAGGCAGTGGGCGGGGCCTGGGCGGGTGTGGGCGGGGCCTGGAGATGGAGGCGGGTCTTCTGGTACTGGACTGGGCCTCTCCACCTTCTGCAAGATCCAGGGCTTCACAGAGGGCACCACTGTCTTCCCGTCCCAAACAGGTGGGGGCTGCGGTGCCCGGAGGGATTAGGGTCAGATTAGGGGCGGGACTTTGTCGAGGAGACAGGGCTTCGGTGGGGAGGGGTTTCTGGTACTGGGGAGGACCTTCACTGGGTGGGCGTGGCTTCCTGGAGGGCGGGGCATCAGGGCGGGGTGAAAGTGGGGGTGTCAGCCTAGGGTCGGTATGAGGGTCCCCTGGGGTCGTACCAACCCGGGCCCTGCTGTCCGGTTCCCGCAGTTTATGGGGCGCTGGTTCAGCGCGGGCCTCGCCTCCAACTCCAGCTGGTTCCGGGAGAAGAAGGCGTCCATGTCCATGTGTTCCACCGTGGTGGCCCCCAGCGCGGACGGTGGCCTTAATCTCACCTCCACCTTCCTCAGGTGGGTGGGTGTGTGGGCTGGTTTTGGTGGCCAGAGAACCCTGACCACTGTTGCTGTCTGGGGACACCTGACTCCTGACCTGGAGATGACTTGCCCATAGGAAGGACCAGTGTGAGACCTGGACCATGCAGCTGCAGCCCTCGGAGAACCCGGGCTCCTACAGCTACCAGAGTCCACGTGAGTGTGCCTCCACCCATCTACCTGGGGCGCAGGCCACTGATCTGGACTCCTGCCCGAGGTGCAGGCCATGCCACAGGGTTAGCCCTGTGTGGCTGTGCCATAGGTACAGCAGAGTGGGCACAGAGGGACCCCCTCAGGGACAGTATCCTGTCTGCAGCCCACTCGTGTTCTCTAGGCCTCTCCTCCCCTGCCTGGAGTAATTTCCAGTTCTGTACTTCCATGTAAAGCACAGCGCCTCGGGTCCCATCCACACTTCCTCAGTTCCCACCCAAGGAGGCAGAGCCCCCACACACACACATTCGGGCCAAGAGTTTTGTGACCCTGATTTTCTGAGCCTAGGCATTTCCTGTCCCCCAGAATTTCTGGTCTGGGGCACAGTTCTGGCTGTGTGGTAGGAAGCGGGGAGAGGGGTGGTACCCTGATGGGGAGGGTCAAGGATAGTGGCCAGCATAAGGGAGCATCGGGACATGTAGACCAGGAGCTCTGGGTTCCCCTGAGCTGGCCCCCCACCAAGCAGGGGTGGCTGGGGGCTTGGGGTCCCGACCTGCAGCCTCTGGTCCCTAGGCTGGGGCCACACCTCCCTGATCTCCGTGGTGGAGGTCAACTATGATGAGTACGCGCTGCTGGACACCAAGGGTATCGACCATGACTTCCACATGGCCACGCTCTACAGTAGGTGCCCAGCCCTGGGCGGCATTGGTACAAGACAGGGGTCTGGCCCTCAGAGGGCTATCTCGGGGGGTCCCCACGACAAGACATTGAGCTGGCCCCTCACTCCCAGGCCGTACCCAGACCCTGAGAGCCGAGCTGAAGGAGAAATTCTCCACCTTCTGCAAGGTCCAGGGCTTCACAGAGGACACCATTGTCTTCCCGCCCCAAACAGGTGGGAGCTGCTGTGCCTGGAGGGATTAGGGTCAGATTAGGGTTGGATTAGAGGTTTAGAGGTAGGCAGGGCCCTGAGTGCACCCGGGACAGGCTGGGAGGGGCTGGCCTACCTGCCATTACGTGTCACTCTGCCCCCAGCCCTCTGACCTCTGCCTCCAGCTCCCTCCCTGATGGACACCAGTAGCCTGGCTGCCAGGCGCCAGGATGCAGGGCCCTCCGCCTGGGGGCAGGTGCCCTTGGGAACGCTGGTGAAGAAAGACCACTGCCTTTGTCTTGAGGAGCAGGGCTGGGGCAGAGTTGGGGGGGTCTGTGCAGTTTTGGTTACGCAGGCCAGCTTGCCAGGGCATGGGGGGGTCCACAGTGTTAGTGGGCCGGAAGTGCCCATGGGAATCCAGTTTGGCCTGGGGCTGATGGCAGCCTCTGGGCTTCTTTCTTGGCAGATAAGTGCCTGAAGGAGAAGGAGTAGGTGAGTGGGGTGGGGGACTTCACCTGGTAAGAGGGACTCCCTCCTTGACACATCCCATACACTTCTGGTGGGGGTGAGGTGGGAGGGATGACCCAGGAGCCCCTGAGCAGAGTGGGCATCTGCTGTGTCTGTTTGAAGAAAATTAGGTCCCAGCCACGGGAGCAGGGCTGATCCCCAAGTGCTCATGGGGGTAGGGGTGCAGGTGCCAGGTCCGCAGCAGAAAGGGGAGGGGCTCCACCCGTAGGCACCACCCTCAGTGGGGTCTCTGGCTCCTGCTCAGGGGTCCAGGGAGCCCGGAAGGGGAGACAAGAGGGAAGTCAGCAGGACGGGGAGGGCAGAGGACCTTGCCTGCTGGTCTGGTGGCATCGCTTTGATCTGAGAAGAGCAGGCTCTGAGGGGCCACTGGCGGGAGGGATGGGCTGGAAGCACCCTGTGGGCCCCACATGCCCACCAATCCTGTTCTCCCTGCCAGGTGGCCCAGCCCTCAAGACCCCTCTGCTCCATGCCTTCCTCCAAGACCCCGGCCTGATCTCCCCAAAGTGCCCGTGCACCTCCTGCTGTACCCCAGATCTGAGAAATAAACTGAAGCAAGTCAGAGCCTGGCCCTGCCTGTCTGTTCTCAGGGCACCCCCTGTGTGATGTCACCTGGGGGCATTTGCTCCCGGTAGGGTCCTGGAAGGACAACCAAGGCATAGTGTGCAGTGCTCCTCAACCCTGCACAGGGCCCTGACCTCATCACGCCCCCACCGCCTCATACTGTGCGTCTCCAAGCTGCAGGGGTGACATCCAGGCCTGGGCTGGTCTGAAGGTCGGTCAGCAGCTAAGCCCCAAGCCATGCTGGGGAGCTTTGGCCCTGATGGGTTGTCAGGGTTCAGGATTAGTGCTGTCACACTGGGCAGAGGCCTGAGATGGGGGGGACAAAAGGAACACTTGTTTGGAAAGTGCTGGAGAATCTACGGCCCCCACTGGGACAGTGACAGAGTGACAGTGGGCTGGCCTGGGCCACCCACACACCTCAGCCCCTTGGCTCCCTCGGGACACAGCCCTGCTCTTACTTGGGCCCTGGAGCCAACACCCTCCCCCAGCTCAGCTCACAGGTGCAGTCGCCTCAGGGTGGCCTCTTGGAAGGGGGCCTGGGCCATGCCAGGGCTGAGGGGCCCTGGGGGCCAGCAAGGTGGGGTGGGTCAGAGGCTGCCAGGCAGGAAACAGGAGCTGGCAGGGTGAGGGGGAGCTGTGGAGTGCAGCCTGTGCCTCAGGGCATCTAGGGGACATAAAGGCCAGGCTGAGGAGGCTGCCCCAGCTCTGCTGCACACCAGTGCCCTGAGGAGCCTCCGCCATGCTGCTGGCTGTGTGGGTCACTGCCCTCCTTGTCCTGCTCCAGCTGTCCCCAGGCCAGGCCCAGGTGCCCATCCAGGCCAACTTTGACCCCAGCAAGGTGCGCCTGCCCTACCTGTCCCGTCCCACCTGTCCCGAACTGGGATCTTCAGGAAAAGCCCCACCTGCCCCCCACCTAGGGGACCGCAGACGCCCTGGCCCTGCATCAGGTGGTGCCCCTGTGGCCCTCAGGGCCTGTGGCCAGGATGAACGGCAGCTGCCTGGCCAGCTCTGGGTGCCCAGGGAAGCAGCTGTGCCCAGGCAGGTATGGTGGGCTCGGTGGGCACAGGACCGCCTCTCAGCCCTGCTGCCCTCCTGCAGTTCCAGGGCCTCTGGTATGTGGTTGGGGCTGTGTCTGACGACCAGGGGTTCCAGGACTCTAAGGATGACATGAAGATGCCTGTGGTCTCGGTGACTTCCCTGGCTAATGGTGACCTGGCCCTCAAGTTTGGGTACCCCACGTAAGTGCCCAGGGCCTCACCTCACATGCAGCCTTGGGTGAGGGCCAGGGTGAGGCCACAGGAAGGCCAGTGGTGACCCTGATAGGCCGGGGATGCAGACCACGGGCTCCCAGGACCCAAAGAAGAGTCTGGGGTACTGCTCCTCAGAGGGACCAAGCCCCACATGCCTGCCTGAGGCCGGGGTGTGGCCTGCCTGTCGGTGTCTGCCAGTGCGCAGAAGACCTGTACAGCTGCACTCCACCAGTGCCTAGCACGTCCTGCACAGCCACCCACAGGACCTGCTCTCCTGTAACAACCCCAGAGCTCCTTGGGGGCTGTGCGGTGGCGGGAGGGCCGGGAGAGAGCGGGGTCCGTGGGGCGGCTGTTCAGGTGTTGGGTCCCCCAGGCCTGATGGTGGCTGCCAGAAGATAGAGACAACCTATACCAAGGGCGCAGCGGACGGGCAGTTCAGTGACCCAGGTGAGGCGCCGGCCGCTGGCCTTTCAGTTCTCCAAGGTCAGACGATGCTGGGGGTTGTGGGGCCAGGAGTGCAGGCTGGCTCAGCGGTTCTCTGGTCACAGCCATGGCCCAGACTGACATCCGCGTGGCCTCAACTGACTACGACCACTTCGCGCTGATGTACTTTGAGACACAGAAGGCGGGCGTGCGGAACGTCTGGCTGCAGCTCTTCGGTGCGCCCATGGGCGGGTCCCCCCCGGGGCTGGGCGCAGGCCTCTCCCTGAGTCCTGGTTGGTCTGAGTGTCACTGCCCTGGAAGGACGGGCCCTTGCCTCCACGTGTCACTAGGGGTCCTGAGAATCCCGGGTCTGTGGCAGAGGGGTCTGGCCCTGCCCGCTGGGCTCACCTGCCCCCCGCTGCCCCCAGCCCGCACCCCAGAGCCATTTCCTGAAGGCGCCCAGAAGATGCAGGAGCTGGTATCTCAAGTGGGCCTGAATCCCAGCCAGGGCGCTCTGATGCCCAAGTCAGGTGAGCACTGCCTCTGCCCCAGCTCCGGGGACTCCAGACCCAGCTGGCAGGGCAGCCTTACCGCACTGATCCCAAAGAGGGACGGAAGTGCCCAGGTGGGGCTGCTGCTGGGAGGGAGGGGCCCCGGGGCTCAGGGCCAGGAGGGACACCTGAGGCCTATTCTCTCCCACAGAGCAGTGTACCGGCGCCATGTCCCAGGTGAGTGCCCTGCGGAGGAGGGGCTGAGGTGGTGCTCCCCACAGGGTGCTCCCTCTTTGGCTGGGAGGAGGCTGGAAGGGCTGGGCTGCTTGCCCCAAGTCTGGGAGCTGGCCAGTACCAGTGCCAGGCACCTGCCGTGTCTTTTGCAGTGAGGGATCCAGGTCAAGTGCCGGTGGAGGCCCAGCCACCCTGTGTCCTGAGCCCTCTGCAGAAAGCACCCTGTTTCTCTCCCCAGGCCCCCAAACACAATAAATGGTCTTGGAAATTCAGATAAGGTGTGCTTTTGTGGAAGTGGGCACAGTGGGTGGCAGAGTGGCCTGGGAAAGGTGCCATGAGAATGGCTGAGCCCCAATTCCTAAGGCCCAGGGCCCACCAGAGCTGGGCACCACTGGGCACGGGCTGGACCCACTCTTGGTAGGCCCCACCCTGCAGGTGTCAGGCCAGGAGGGGCAGAGGCTGGAGTCAAAGAGGTCTTCCTGGTTCCCTGAGCTGGTCCAATAGCACATGTACCCTGGGCTCCAGCGGCCACTGGTGAAGCGCTGGGCCTATGGGGTCCTCCAAAGGGCAGCCAAAAACTGGATCTGGACCCAGGCCCCTGTGTGCCTGGGAGAACCTCCTAGTACCCAGCTCCCCCGATTCTGGCTCTGGGTTACGTGCTCCCCCTGCCCACTGCTGTGGACAGCCAGCGTAGCCCCAGCTCAGTCCATGCCCTGCTGGCCAGGAGCATAGGGAGAGGACTCATGGTGTTTCAAATACTTCTTGCTTCTGTGCTTATGCAGAACAGTGCTCTCATTAAGGGCTCTGCCCGAAAAATCTGAGGGTAAAATGCAAATGTAAATGGTTTGGCAAAAAAGTAATAAAACAGCTTATAAGTTTGTCAAAATATTGATAATTCTTCCATCTGGGGCTCTGTATGCTATTGTCTCCATTGGTTGAACATTTTCATTAAAAATACAACCCTAGGGCTGGGGATTTAGCTTAGCCTGCCTCACAAGTGCAAGGTCCCAGTACCAAATAATTTAAAAAAGTAAAAAATAAAAATAAAAAATAAACAACAATGCAATCCTCTCTGGGCAACCTCTGCTCCTGATTGGGGCTGAGAGGTCCCAGGTGAGGCACCGCAGGACCCAGGCAGCCACTGGGGACCGCTGCCCCCCAGCAGGGCTGAGCCGACTGAGCCTTGAAGGCGGCGCTGCAGTGCTTAGAGGTGACCGCTGGGCGGCGCCGCACCGTGCCCCAGTCCTCTCGGCCTCCCCGTGAACCTGGAAAGGGAGGCAGGCACCAGGAGACAGCACTGGGCTCTGCTCGGGGGGCTCTGGTCCCCACCGGGGAAGTGCAGGCCGCCCCCACAGCCTCGGGACCCTACTCTGCCCTCCAGATGAGGCGGCCCCTGAAGCTGGGGTGGGCAGTCACTCCTCATCTGCAGCTGGGCTTAGGACTTGCCATGTCCTGCCCCAAGTTTCTCTGGCCACTCAAGGGAAGCCTGTAGCTGGTTCTCTTTCCAGAAGCCCAGGGTGTGTAGTATCTACACACTGTGTCAGTTCTTGCCCTCTGCTCAGAACTCCCATCCCCTACCAGTGGGTCCCCCCTACCCACTGAAAGAGAGATCACAGGCCCCATGCTGGCTAGATGACAGGCCTGTCCTGACAGGCTTTCTTCAGGAACCACCTTCTACTCAAGCCTCTCTCCAGCTCTGCCCCAGGGCCTGTGCATAAGCTGTCCCTTGCCTGGAATGCTGCCCTACAATCTATCCACCTAGTTCCCTCCTCTCCTCTGCAGTCTTTGGATCAAATGTCCCTGTGCTTGGATTCTTGACCTCAGCAGCCCCAGGCCCCAGCCGTCTCCCCTGTCTCTAGCTCAGCTGGAGGTCACCATTGCTGGTGTTGGTCAGCCCTGCTGTTTGCCACAGGGCCTTGTCTCCCGAGTGCCTGTGCCAGGTGAGCCGTTTAAGACGGAGACAGGACAAGAGTTCACATGGGGCTAAATACAGGAGCAGACGGTCGGGCCCCCAGGCAAAGTGGGACACAGGAGACAGTGTTGACGGGGGCGGGGGATGAGACCTCTCCACAGCGGCTTTCGCTGAGATGGTGGCAGCGGAGGATGTGCGGGTGGAGGTGGCAAGGATGCGGGGCGCAAGGGTGGCGTGCTGGCTGGAGCCTGTCTGGGGCCCGCAGCAGAGCCTGG